ATCCATCCAGTGATTCATCCCATCACATCCCATTCTATCCATCCAGTAATTAATTCCATCACATCCCATTCCATCCATCCAGTGATTAATTCCATCACTTCCCATTCCATCCATCCAGTGATTCATCCCATCCCATCCCATTCGATGCACTATTATTTTGTAGACATTTAATGTATTAGAGAATTACAAGAAAAGAAAAAAACAATACACAAGGGGTTGGCTAAGACTTGAGAGGTGAAAGCATCACTCAAAAAAGATTTCCTGACCTGCAGCTATGAGAGCACACAACCACTACAATAGGCCTATTCAAACCCTTATTTCTCTTTCCCACAGGCTCGCCGTCTCAGTTTTGGTGTTAGAAAATGTTTCACCTTCATCTTAACTTGTCAGCTGATGCTCTCTGTGGTCATGTTCTTGTCCAGTTGTCTTCTACTGCCCCCTCCCCTGACAGGATTACATTTGTTATGGTTATCATGTTTTACAGTACCCCTCCTTAGTATCTCATTGATTGCGTCAAAGCCAAGCAAAGGGTTGATGTCTTTGATGACGGGTAGAAATGATCACATGTTTGAGGTAACATATTTATGAATATTATTGAAATTTTGCCAACTCCTCATTTAATAATCCCCTTAACTTCTCTACTGTCAGATTATTCCTCAAACAAACCATCTCTCCCTCCTACCCAGTCAGTCTGTCTGTTTATCCATTCATCCATTTTGTCATTTATTTATTCAGTTCTTCCATATGCACTGCCTTTATTTGCTAGTAGGGGATATTGGATGTGTTCTGGGGCTATCTTAACCATGACTCCAAGCAGGTTTGTTTGGGGTGCCTAATTCTCAGGCTCAGACTCTCATACTCTTGCTAAAACATTAAAAGAGTGGCTTAGAAATACCTGTTTATTTCTTGTAGGCTAGTGTTTTTTAACATTTTTGCTACTGAAATGTACATGAATGGTTGAAAAGACGAGAGATTGAAAGACGAGAAATATCAAAGACAGATGAAGTATTTTGTCCACTCTCCCCAAAACCCAAATAGTTTCAAATAAAAATCTCTTATGTATGATTCTTTTCTTCTAGGACATCACATATCCCTTCTGTATGTACTTTGGATGTGGTTTCCTGCCGACGTGTTTCTTTATCTGTGTTGTTTTATTTCCTCTTACTTTACATGGATTTTGTACAATGAAAAATGCCAATCACAGTGACCAATGTCACTTGTTGCTAGGATACAGGTAAATCATGATCAAAATCTATTTTCTTCCTTCCACTCAAACAACCTCTGGTCTGATCTAAGTCAGGGTCTGGCTAACTCACAGACTGGACCCTGAAACAACCTCTAGGCTGATCAAAGTCAGGGCAGGCTAACTCACAGATTGAATCCTAAAACGACCTCTGTGCTGATTAACATCAGGGCACAGTTAACTTGCAGATCAAATAGAAATAGACCTCCTTGGCTCTGACGTAATGTTTTCCCATTTCAGACCAATATGTGTCATTCCCTAGAGTATCATTTGTTTAAGGTTTGCACTCGGTTGCACATGAGAAGACACATGAATATGGATACAACTCAAACAAAGAATATTATTCTCAAGGGAATGACATGTGGTCTGAAATGGGACAACATTACGCTCGCATACTCCAGAGCCGAGGAGGTCTATTGAGCATGTTGTGTTTTGATGAGAGCACTAACACACAACACACTTGATTCCCAACATCAGTAATTTTATTTTTCAATTATTATTATTTTATTATTATTATTATTGTTATTATTACTCATTTATTTAAACTTGCTTTTTGCTTGTAATTTTTTGTTATTTTAATTTTTTGTTAAAGCGCTTAGGACAGATCTGAATAAGCGCTATATAAGCCTTATTATTATTATTTTATTTTATTTATTTATTTACTTATTTATTTATTAGAGTTTTCCTTATTAAATCATGTCATTACAGGAACACTTCTGAGCCATGGAATGGCCTGGGTGGTCAGTATATACAAGTGTTAGCCCTAGCACAGGATCTTAATGCATTTAGTCTAGTGCTATTCTTCGGTGAGTTTATTAAAGATAATGTAATTGTCAAACTTTAAAGCCCTGGTTATAGGAAGTTTTTTTTACAACATGTAGTCCTTGTCTTTAGACTCCCCCATGGATCTTCATTAATGTCTTGTATCTTTACGCAGCTATAATATCAACAAGTTTTGTGCATCGTCTTAAGTCTCTGTGGAGAAGGTCACCATTTTCTAATAGACACTGGTTATATTCTGTTATAGTCGTGTAAGTATCCATGGTCAGTGTAAATACTGGTGCATGTGCAACGGGATTTATGTTCTTCTGACCCACCCATGGCCACTTAGAATAATTGTCTTAGTCACTTCCTCCCCACTCCTTGGAAATTCCAAACTCTACACAATATACCCTCCTCTGACCCTCCCCTCCCCTTAGAAATTCCAATCCCACCCCATGGGGGTGGTATGGATATTTTTCTGGAACTTCACAATATACCCTGCTCAGAACCTAACAAACCTTGGAAATTCAAATCCCCCATACATATAGATATGTTCTGAAACAGACCGTATTTAATTCAGCTTGACAAACCTCCAGAGGATTCATTCTTTTTTTTTTTTCACTCTCAAAATATTTGTGAGTATCCCAAAAGATACGAAAGGAATAACTATAATATCCCGCGAGTTTCAAAACAATAGCTGTTCATTCCCCTAGAGGTTGTCACACCACAAATAAGATCTACTACACCATATTTCAGACCCTCCCCACGCCTTGGAAAGTTAAATCCCCTCTAGGTTTAAATAATTGTCTTTCATTTATTTTCCAAGTGTTGGGTCACAACTACTGTACTTCATCATATCTCAGTCCATCTGGATCCAAACCAATGGTTCCTACTATAACATCAAGGATCTCCCTCCATATATTCTCACACTGGTGTTCCTATGGCCTCTTGGGTCCTTGGTCATTACAGAGCTGTTAAAACGACGTTATATCAAGTATGAATACAAACATAAACAAAACGTTTCTTTTATGCGTAATTTATAAAATTAGAAATATATTGCACAGTTATTAATGTATTTTCTCAATTTTTGTAGGTTGTATGTACGATTCCAAAAAAGAGCAAAACTAAAGTTTGGAACCAAGCTTGGAATGAATTCTCCATTTTAGTCCTTTCTTCACCCAAAACTTTATCTTCAAGATATCAAGACCAAAAACCACCCCACCCTATTCCCCTTTGAAGATTAAGGGCTAGCCCAAGATTTAGAGCTAAAGCATTCAATATTCATAATTGTATTTAAATTTTTATGCAATGGAGTTTAGTTCAAATTTAAGATATAGTTCATAATTTTAATGAAGAGAAAAAAATTAGGCATTCACAATTTGTTTGAAAATTTATTTAAATGTAAATGTGCTTTTTATTGCATTTTTCTTACTCTACTCTCTTTTTACAGATCATTATATTAAGATAGAGGGGATTCATTGTATAAGACATATTATAAGACAAAATGGTAGAAATATTCTCCATTAAGAAATAAAATTTCTTTTCATAGAAAGATCATAGTATTGTTCCTTTTGAGAAGATGGCTGCAATGAAATCCCTCTACAATGAATAAAGCTTTTTTCTTTGTAAAGTGCATTAACACATAAAGTGCTATAACAAAATGCTATTATTCTAAGCTCAAATACATTGCTTTACATGAATTGAATTTATATTTTTCAGACTTTGTAAATATCAAACCAAAAGATCACTTTTTTGTGACTGTAGATGGTCTATTAAAATATCAATAAATAACAGATTCTATAGTCGTATTCACTTTCTCTTAAATTTTATCCTGCAAAGTCTGGAAAACTCATACATGAAAGGGGGCATTGAGCATTTTCGAGCACTCCCTAAGAAACTACTTTGAAGGGTTGATGTCATCCCCCCCTCTCCTCCCTCTCATGGAGGTTGACAAAACTAGATAACAGTTGCTGTTAGATAACAGCACTAGCCTAAAGGCTAGGGATCATGTGTGGTATCTAATTTTACGTTTCCTCCTCTTGCAAGAATGATCTTTTTGTCACGTCGACTAACATTGGTGTCAGATCTGAACAATGACCAGAGGCAATCTGTAGATAGTGGACCAACTTCCTGGCTAAACAATTTTGCCCTTGCTTTGTCTACAATAATCAAATTAAAAAACAGATTAAATAGTTGAGAAGTTAAACAGATTAAATAGTTGACAAGTTTCCTGAGTGTGTATGGTTTATATATAATGAGAAGCATGGAAGAGATAAACATGCATATATAAATCATACATAGAGACCTCATTTGTGCAGATCCAGGAATTTGTTAGTGGGTGTCCCAAATGAAGAAATGTATATAGAGACATTATGCATTGCTTCAAAAAAGTGTAACAGTAACTACAGCATTAGGGGGTGTGCAGTAACCACAGGACCCCCTCCTGCTGGCTGTCCTCAGTCAATGAAAATACTCTGGAATAATCTTTACCAAGTTTGATCTAAACATACAAGAACCTACTAAGTTACCTGTAATTCTGAGCAAATAAGAGGTGAGTCATACATGTCTGATAACCCAACCACATCTTGGATACCAATGGCATGGATCGGTTCATTTTTCACTGTTAGTTAGAAAATGCAGGAAAAAATGTAATTGGTTTGACAATAAATCTATGGTTTTCATCTGAAATTCATTATCAGGATGTTATTTTTTGTTTCTTCGGAAAGGCGCTCACTAATAGACCCCTTTCAGGATTTCTTATTTCAGACCACATGTCAATCCTGGGGGGGGGGGGGGGGTACTCCCATATATACAGGAATGATCCGCTGAAGAGGGTATGGTTTTTCAAGCTTCTGGTCATAAACAGGGTATGCAATTTCACTCAAGTTCCAAGTTCTTCCTGAGTTTCCTGTCATATTCAGGGTTTCTACTTTCGTATTGACCAAAACTGGTTATTATGGTCGTAAAAAACAATACGCGAGATGACATGATAATTGAAACAGGAACTCAGTGCAATAAATTACATCTTTTGTCATAAACATGGTCTACACGTTTGAATTTTTTTATCACAAACAGGGTACCCTTTCAGAATCCCAGCAGAACACCCCTACCCAAATTCTGGCGGAGTACCCCCCACCCGGGATGTCAATTCTCTTGTGCCTTCTCATGTGTATCTCTTAGATAAAGAAGTAATACTCTAGGGAATGATGTACCTGGTCTGAGATGGGAAAACATTATGCCAAAGGTAAATAGGTCTATAACATTATCTATTTCTCTAAAGAATATTTTAAAAAATTATTATGTAAATTACATACCATTAGTCACAACGAAACAGCAGTGTCCTAAAAAGTACTCTACGTCAACATATTTTAACGAGTTCTTGACAATATCCAAGCTGTGGATAAACCATAGAGGGGTAAATAAATTCTCTTTGACATACAGATACCTCTCCCCTGTTGTCAGTGTTATTGTCTTTATTTGAGTGGCCTGTCCCTCCCCTCCCCTGCTAACATTTTTGTTATGCGTTTCATCAGATTCACCTGGTTTTGTTGCTCATGTCGATGAAGAAGACTACGAAGTCGATTCTTGGACGCTTATTTTCAGGGTCTGGAGGAAGGGGTAAGGATTTTGCTGTTCGTCTGTCAGAAATACAAATATTCAAGCTATTAGTTTTGGAGTACAAAATCTAAAATACATGTAGGTTAAAAAAGAGTTCATTTTATCATTACTAGTAACGAGACAGTTTTCAGAGGTCTTACATTTGCGGCTTGAAGTCTAGATTACACTTGGTAATGGCGTTAGCTACACGATGTTTTCCGATGTCTTTTGCTCCAACAAACTGTTCACAACAAGACAACAACAATAAACGAACCAACATAAAAAACTAGGGATAAAAACAATGTTAAAGCAATATTTTCTTTTTTAGAATAGACAGTCATCACGGTACACATTATAATCTCTTCTTTGTAAATGAAAAGAGTTCTTACCAGGGCAGTTACTTGGTTACTGGTTGGAAGTTTATTAAACCGACTCAAAATTTCTCTTTCGTCCTCCATTTTGTTTTTGGTTTTCCCGCTAAAACCACTGACCATAACACAGGAACCCCAACGAAGTAAAATCTTCACTTATATTCGATCTCAAAAAAAATTGAACATCTCTTCATAAAAAGTCTAAAAAGCCTGAAGCTTTTATCTAATGTAGCGCATTTGATTTTGTTGTTTGGAACAGTATTTTTCACAAATGGAATTCAAGCGTAATTTGTTTTCATTTTCACTTTTTATTCATTCTTTCATTCCCATTTACATTGTGTATCTCGGGATAGACATAGGATACATCGTGTGTGTGTATATAAAGGTTATCTATACAAAAGTTTCATCTACTATCCAGGCTACTACGATGGATATTTTTCTTGTAAATACGCGTTATTTACTTTGGAGTTAAGAAATGCAAAGCTATATTATGCTTGAACTGACGATAAAAGGGCTCTACCCCATCGCCCTTCTCAAATTCAATCTGATCGATTTTCGACACATTCCATTCCTCTTTTCCCAGTTTTTCAACCATTTCGTCGCTCACGATCCCAGGATAGTGAGGTGAAGTGCAATCTTGGAGATTAAATCTCGTATTCTCTAAAGCAAGCTTCCCAGTGGGGGCAACAAGCTGTCGAAGAACAGACAAATAAGCTTTGGCGTCGGATCCTTCTGGTTCGCTTACGGTTGTTCTGAGCGCCGCTCTGTCCCAAATGACGTCAAAAGAAGATTTCATAGAAGGCACAAGGCTAGGGAACTTGAAAAAGTCACACTGGAATAGCGTGATATCTTTGTTTTTCCCCTTGAAAACTTTGTATTCATCGCTAAGAGGCTCTGTCTCAAACGCGATGTCATTGAGCTCGAAAAAAGCTTGACATCCCTTGGCATCATACTCAATTCCTACAACAGAATGTCCTCGATTAGCGAACCACAGTAGGTCTACAGTAATCCCACATAGCGGTACGAGAACTCTCAGATTAACTCGTCCTCCCGTGACTTTGGCTTCRTGCTTCAAAAGCAAGGGATGGACCTCCTTGATATGCCACGCTAACTCYGGGCTCTTCCAATCTACCTCCCAGCAGCTGCATTCATYGTCTTGTTCGCTACTCTGATCTGGTTTTGTCTCAGCCATAGCCTCGTTACTTTATTTCCCCCTTTAAGACACTAGTTATGCTGTGTTCGAATTAATAACGTGAGTTAGTTATGATGCACACCTTGATTTACAGTTCAAGGTGACGTCATACAAGCAATCAAGAGTCAGTCTGACAACGCACTAGACGGTAAAGGAGGAGCTAGCTACAGTACAGGCAGCCCAAACAAGATTCCTGTGTATGGTTTACAAGGGAATGTATGGGAGTTATGATGAAGATATAACAATAACATATTTCACTCAGGGGGGAAACGATGATACAATTGACTTTCTCT